AGTCAGTAGTTTACCTACAGTCAGTGGTTTACTGACAGAGTCAGTAGTTTACCTACAGTCAGTAGTTTACCTACAGTCAGTAGTTTACTGACAGTCAGTGGTTTACTGAGTCAGTAGTTTACCTACAGTCAGTAGTTTACCTACAGTCAGTAGTTTACTGACAGAGTCAGTAGTTTACTTACAGTCAGTAGTTTACCTACAGTCCGTAGTTTACCCGACTCAGCAGTTATCCCAAAGGTAAGTTTGATGCAGTGGCTGAAAGCTGAGGTTTAACTGAGCTGCGTTCTCATTGTTTTTGTCCTGACAGGGTTGTATTTAACTGTATAGTGATAATATTGCTTCAACAGTTGAGTGTAAAGTTTTCAAAGACAATTTATCTGTAGATGTGATCAGGTGAGCAAGGTCATCAGGTTACACTGTCATGGTGGAGTTCTGGTGTCGTCACTTTGGTTTACCAGAGCGGTTACATTCTGACTGTTTCAGAAAAGAACTGTGGGAGAATTTGTTTATGTTAAATAAATTAATGAATCAATGGATGAATGATCAATTAAAAACAAGCAAACAAATAAGTGTGAGTGTGTGTGTGTGAGTGTGTGAGTGTGTGTGTGTGTGTGTGTGTGTGTGAGTGTGTGTGTGTGTTTGAAGAAGCTGCTGAGTTTCCCACAGTGTGTTTGAGTGTGTGAAAGGTACAGATTAGAGAGAGAGAGAGGGAGAGAGAGGGGGAGAGAGGGGGGGAGAGAGAGGGAGAGAGGGGGGGAGAGAGAGGGGGAGAGGGGGGGGAGAGAGAGGGAGAGAGAGAGGGAGAGAGGGGGAGAGAGGGGGGGAGAGAGAGAGGGAGAGGGAGAGTGGATCAGTGATGAATGCAGAAAGACCGTGAAAAGGAGGATGGGGGGACACGAGCAAAGTGCCTGTCTTCCATTAGACGCTCTCTCATCCCTCCATTCTCTCTCTGTTCCTGAAGAGGGGAATGTGGAGACTCTTCAGCTGGAGGATAAACCTGAGTCTCTGAGCAAAAGAGCCTGGAGGTGTCAGTGGGGGGGGTGGGGGGGGTGGGGGGGGGGCATGGAGGGGCTTGGCCTGTCAGAAATCTGAATAAAAACAATTGAAATAGAAACAGTGATTTAAGATGCACAGAATCCATACAGCATTCCGGCTCATTACCATTTTACTTATTTACGTTCCAGCTTTACTCTAAAATGGATTAAATACCGCAAAACAAACATCGTAATAAAAAGTGTGAAGTTTGATAAACTGATTAAAAATAAAAATCACATTTACACTGTGTGTATTCAGACCTTTCACTTGTTTAAGTGCTCTTAGCAGCGAATACAAACTTAAGTCCTCTTGAGTTTGACACAGCTGGATTTAGGGATCTTCTCTGCAGCTCTCGAGCTCTGTCAGGTTGTAGACTGAATGGTGGAGCTAAACTGCTGTAGCTGAATGGTGGAGCTAAACTGCTGTAGACTGAATGGTGGAGCTAAACTGCTGTAGACTGAATGGGTGGAGCTAAACTGCTGTAGACTGAATGGTGGGGCTAAACTGCTGTAGACTGAATGGTGGAGCTAAACTGCTGTAGACCGAATGGTGGAGCTAAACTGCTGTAGCTGAATGGTGGGGCTAAACTGCTGTAGACTGAATGGTGGAGCTAAACTGCTGTAGCTGAATGGTGGAGCTAAACTGCTGTAGACTGAATGGTGGAGCTAAACTGCTGTAGACTGAATGGTGGAGCTAAACTGCTGTAGACTGAATGGGTGGAGCTAAACTGCTGTAGCTGAATGGTGGGGCTAAACTGCTGTAGACTGAATGGTGGAGCTAAACTGCTGTAGACTGAATGGGTGGAGCTAAACTGCTGTAGCTGAATGGGTGGAGCTAAACTGCTGTAGCTGAATGGTGGAGCTAAACTGCTGTAGACTGAATGGTGGAGCTAAACTGCTGTAGACTGAATGGTGGGGCTAAACTGCTGTAGCTGAATGGGTGGAGCTAAACTGCTGTAGCTGAATGGTGGAGCTAAACTGCTGTAGACTGAATGGTGGAGCTAAACTGCTGTAGCTGAATGGGTGGAGCTAAACTGCTGTAGACTGAATGGTGGAGCTAAACTGCTGTAGACTGAATGGTGGAGCTAAACTGCTGTAGACTGAATGGTGGAGCTAAACTGCTGTAGACTGAATGGGTGGAGCTAAACTGCTGTAGCTGAATGGTGGAGCTAAACTGCTGTAGACTGAATGGGTGGAGCTAAACTGCTGTAGACTGAATGGGTGGAGCTAAACTGCTGTAGCTGAATGGTGGAGCTAAACTGCTGTAGCTGAATGGTGGAGCTAAACTGCTGTAGACTGAATGGGTGGAGCTAAACTGCTGTAGACTGAATGGTGGAGCTAAACTGCTGTAGACTGAATGGGTGGAGCTAAACTGCTGTAGCTGAATGGTGGAGCTAAACTGCTGTAGACTGAATGGTGGAGCTAAACTGCTGTAGACTGAATGGGTGGAGCTAAACTGCTGTAGCTGAATGGTGGAGCTAAACTGCTGTAGCTGAATGGTGGAGCTAAACTGCTGTAGCTGAATGGTGGAGCTAAACTGCTGTAGACTGAATGGGTGGAGCTAAACTGCTGTAGACTGAATGGGTTGAGCTAAACTGCTGTAGCTGAATGGGTGGAGCTAAACTGCTGTAGCTGAATGGGTGGAGCTAAACTGCTGTAGACTGAATGGTGGAGCTAAACTGCTGTAGACTGAATGGGTGGAGCTAAACTGCTGTAGACTGAATGGTGGAGCTAAACTGCTGTAGACTGAATGGGTGGAGCTAAACTGCTGTAGCTGAATGGTGGAGCTAAACTGCTGTAGACTGAATGGGTGGAGCTAAACTGCTGTAGACTGAATGGTGGAGCTAAACTGCTGTAGCTGAATGGTGGAGCTAAACTGCTGTAGCTGAATGGTGGAGCTAAACTGCTGTAGACTGAATGGGTGGAGCTAAACTGCTGTAGACTGAATGGTGGAGCTAAACTGCTGTAGACTGAATGGGTGGAGCTAAACTGCTGTAGCTGAATGGTGGAGCTAAACTGCTGTAGACTGAATGGGTGGAGCTAAACTGCTGTAGACTGAATGGGTGGAGCTAAACTGCTGTAGCTGAATGGTGGAGCTAAACTGCTGTAGCTGAATGGTGGAGCTAAACTGCTGTAGCTGAATGGTGGAGCTAAACTGCTGTAGACTGAATGGTGGAGCTAAACTGCTGTAGACTGAATGGGTTGAGCTAAACTGCTGTAGCTGAATGGGTGGAGCTAAACTGCTGTAGCTGAATGGGTGGAGCTAAACTGCTGTAGACTGAATAGGCGGGGCTTAAAGAACCAGTTCAGTCTCATATCTATTTCACATTTTGATTTTTTCACTTTCTCTCTGAATCAGAACACAAGAGCAAATATTTCAACACTTAAATCTCATTTAATGAAGTTATGAAATAGCAAAACAGCCTGAACATCTGCAAAAAGTCGAGAAAATGAATTTACAGTAAAAACAATCCAAACATAGAAGCTCTGATAGTCATAAATAAACTCACTTGAACACCAGCAGTATGAGCTGCACACGTTATTATTATAATTATTATCATATTTTAGAGTCAAATTTAAAGGAACTCATGCGAAGCGCTTTAAAACAACCAAGCAATAAACAGTCCAAAAAAACAAAAACAAAACAAAAAACAACCCAAAGAGAACTATAATCATGCATATGTATAGAGGTATACATTTTTCAGGGAACAAAAAATTATAATATTTTATTAAGCAAGCAGTTCATTTTAAATATATATATATGTTTATATATATTTATCCTCAACAGATCTTCATACTGTACATATTTACAGATTAATGCACAACAGCTCGTCTCTGGCGTCTATAAAAGCAGCCGAGAACAAACCGTCCGTTAGAACACGCAGAACCGGACTCGTTCAGAGGCGCCAGCTCATCTGCAGAACGAGCCACGGCGCTCATCCATCATAAACCTCGCAATCGGAACCGCAGTGAAGAGGAGACGGAGAGACCAGAGCCGGACTGCGCTGGACTCTTTAAATAAAGTAAAAAAGACTTCAAGGCACTGCACAATCAGAAACACCCCACACTACACCGCTCTGTACACCGTCACTCCACTCGGCTACAGCCCACCACTCACACCGTACCCGCCTGCACAACATCCTCGCCCTTAAAACAGGGCAACCCCACCAGCCTTCCCAAAATTCACCCATAGTTCAGTGTGTGAGGTGTAAACAGAGAGATTCAGAGTGGTTTGGTGTGAAATGGTTCAGATGTCTTTACAGTGGTGGTGATAGGAACCAGGGGTCGCCATGACTACAACACAGATATAGACATTTTATTTACTATCCAGAACCACCAGTGAACCTACACGAGTCTTCTGAGTCTATATGGAATGTTGATGATGAAAATAGTGGAAAATCTGAAATAATAAGTTTTCTTTGGGGACTATTTTGCCTCACAGCGCCCTGCATGTATCCCTCCACCATGAATGGAGTTTAAGTTCTCTAAACTATCATAAAACAGTGACTCAGTCATCAGGCAGTGAATTCATAACCATTTCATGTAGGAACTTTCTGTGAGGGAGCTTTTAGAGGTGGACGTCTGGTTCCTATCACCACCACTGTGAACAGTTCTGACTCGGTAAGTTTATCTAGAACAGCGTTTCACACCAAACCACTCTGAACGACTCTGTTTACATCTTAACCACTTAATTATACAGGGAATTTTGGAAAGATTGGTGGAATTGCCCTTCAAGAGATATTTCTTTAAATGCTGCCACAGACACATCCTCATGTTTTATAATAGTGGACGTATTTTTAACGGTTTGTTCTATTTTAAACGTGTTCACGGTTTCACTGATGTAAATGAACTTTTTTGTCTATTGACGACATTATTTGGTTCATACTGTCAATATTCTGTAATAAATCTCAGATGTTTCTGTTTCTGATCAGACTCTACACCGTTAGTCTGAACCTGAATCACAACAAACTGCCCAGCTTATGAAAGGACAACAATCAATCAGGACTTATTACAGTGAAATAACTAAAGAACTAACAGTAAACATGTTTACGACGTTGTCTAATACGGCCCTCAACAGATAATCAACACTTAATTAAAGTGTTAATTAACAGAATTAAGTTGCTGCACGTTTCTCAAAATCAGCCGTTTACTAGACGCTGTAAGATCTTACAAACATTAATGGTAAACATTTAGAGGTAAACAATAGAATAACACAGCTGACCATCGAGCTCCTGCTTGGAAATTCAATTCCAATCGTAACAAATTCTGTTAATCAACTTTCAATTAACTGTTAATTAACCTGCACATGACGCAGTGCAATACTAGACAACCTCCTTAATGCATTTACTGAGTGGCAACATGACTTACTGTAACAAATCCAGATTAAATGAAATAAATTTTGTCCTATTTGCTCTGAAATCGCGTTTTAAGAACAGTTTAAACAGTGCAGTACGGTGAGAGTCTGTAGGCTGCAGCTTCATTAGGGCTGCACGATACATCGTTTGTTAATCGTTATCACATGTATATTAAAAAACATGCAAATGAGCTGTGAGCATCTGGACCAATCACAGCTCCATGAGTTCTGAAAAACTACTGTATTCATTTTGGTTAATAATGATAATAACAGTACTAATAATTACAGTTATTACTTTTCTTATATTAGTAATAATAAAAGTGATGCAGGCCAATTCGACCCTGTCATATTACTGATTCCCCAGTTTATTTGTTTATATATTACAGAAGAATATCCCAACACTATTTTTACATTTCCACAGAACATCAGAAGACATCATACTAAAGTCATTCCAGCAGTGGCAGCTTTTACCAATCAGAATGTAGAGGGCGCTATGTTTTTGTTTTTTTCCTGTATGTTAAATTAAGCAAATAAATACAAATTGAGCAGTAAAATTTGTAGAAAAATGTCATACCTCAGTTCTCTGTAGAGGCTGTTAAAATATTTACGCTTAGAAAAAATCGAAAAATGCATGGAATTTGATGGGGGTGTTCAAACCTTCGCACACAACTGTATGTCTCTATGTTATATACGGACGAGCTTTACTGTAATTTCATACACACAATTAAAAAAATTGACAAGCTGCTGGGCGGCAAAAAGTGTTTTCATTTTACCGCTTGAAAATTTGCACAGAAAGTCGGTGGAAACGTGGTTATCGTCATGTTGGTCAGCTTATCGAGGAACACTGTAAGAGGAAAATGTAAAAATATAAAGTTAAATCACATAAAATGACCATAAGACAGTACAAGCTGAGGTACAGCTGACTCCACTAACTTTACTCCCAACCTGCACAACACTGACTGTATTCTAGTAAACATCAGAGCGCTAACGATAGCTGACCTCGCTGGGTTGTAGCTCATTGGGTAACAGAGTCATGCAGGTAATTCTGGAAGAAAAGCTTGTTAAACTCACTGATTTCTGGAAATGAAAACCTTTTTGTGGAAGAATGATGTAAATAAACAAGTCTACGTTCATAAATGCTGCCACTACTGTAATGTTTTCCTGACGACTTCTGCTTCAGTGGAGTACGAAAGTGTGAAGAGGGTCGATTATCATACGTATCAATATATTAGAACCAACAGGACACTTTATACCGTGCAGCCCTAACTGCACTACGTCACTCCAGGTGTGCCGTTCACTCTTTAAGACTTTTTCGTAAATTTCTCTGTACAACACAAACCAGCTGGAGTGCTATAGAAGGGGTGCCATTCCTTTCTTTCTTTCCCTCTTTCTTTTTGTTTCTCTTCCCTCGTTTCAGAAGTCTAAGACTAAATAAGATCAGTGGGTGGAGCCTTAAGTCATAAGCCCCTCCCCCTGGGCAGGTAAACATCGAGTCGTAATAAAACATGCCTAAAACACCTCAGATCAGTAAATAAACTCAATATGCAAGACAATCATCTCTTTTCTTTAGAATATAGAAGTACATGTCTATATAGAGAGAGTTTGTATACCTCAGAAGTACGTTATATATATATATTTATATACGTGTAAAAGCTGCTCTGTCTCTCTTTTAGTTTTGCAACAGTGAAATAAAAACAAAGTGTAATGCGCTGGAAGCACCTCAGTCAGACAGACAGAGAGAGAGAGAGAGAGAGACAGTGATGCTCGATCTCCCTCTCCCTCTGATCATACACTTCTCCTGAAGCTTGGCTACGGCACAAAGGCGAAGAAAAAAAAAACAAAACGAACAGAGCGAGAGGAGAACGAGGGAAGAAAGCCCAGTGTGAGAGTTAAAGGGCAGCAGATGGACGAGTGGAGAACTCCTCCCTTCATTCCTCAACATGCAGGAAAAACGTAGAGAATCGTCCCTCGGCGAGCGCGGAGAGAGGCCGGACAGTGTTTAGTTCAGAAACTACTGTAAACATGACTGTATAGGACTCTACAGAGAAACATGAGTATAACTGTGTGTGTGTATGTAGATCAGGTGGTAAGGCCCCGCCTCTCCAGCTCCTTGCTCTGCTTCAGCTCCTTTATCCTGGAAAAACAACACAAACACATCTTGTATTAAATTGTACCATAATGCACTACAGTGCAAAAGTCAGAGAACCCCCTCATTTCTACAATTTCCAGCCATTAATACAGACTTCCACCAATTTCCCAAAAATCTCTGCGTAATTAAATGGTTAAGATGTAAACAGTGGTTCAGAGCGGTTCAGAGTGGTTTGGTGTGAAACGCTCTGTTCTAGATAAACTTACTGAGTCAGAACTGTTCACAGTGGTGGTGATAGGAACCAGACGTCCACCTCTAAAAGCTCCCTCACAGAAAGTTCCTACAGTAAATGGTTATGAATTCACTGCCTGATGACTGAGACACTGTTTTATGGTAGTTTAGAGAACTTAAACTCCATTCATGGTGGAGGGATACATGCAGGGCGCTGTGAGGCAAAATAGTCCCCAAAGAAAACTTATTATTTCAGATTTTCCACTATTTTCATCATCAACATTCCATATAAACTCAGATGACTCGTGTAGGTTCACTGGTGGTTCTGGATAGTAAATAAAATGTCTATATCTGTGTTGTAGTCATGGCGACCCCTGGTTCCTATCACCACCACTGTAAAGACATCTGAACCATCTCACACCAAACCACTCTGAATCACTCTGATTACCTCACACTCTGAACTATGCAGAGCTCTACAAAAACATGATGGGTAATAGTTTGTTATACCAACATTAATCATGTTAACATCTGGTAGATAATGTTAATCTGGCCAATCACGTGTTTGGATCAGAAAAATCTCATCCCTAATTATTATAATCATTTATTCACCATCTTTTGGACAGTTTTCCAAGGAGCTGGTCCGAATTAAAGTGTTTGTTGATCCGTTAGAGTCAAAAATGACCCTTTCACCAGCTACTATAACTGTCCCTCACATACAGTACTGTCCAAAAGCTTAAAGCACCTGGAAAAATGTAGATGTATCTGGGCACTAAGTGTTTATTTAATCAGAAAAAAACTAACATTATAATACCTACAGATACAGTAATGAAATAAATAGTGTTTTTCTATGAGTCAGTGTGTTTGTTTAACCATTTCCTTCTCTCTTCTTCGAGAAAACCCAGTGTAAACCGTCATCACCCAATACCTGCTTTATCTGATCAATACTTCATTATGTTAAATCAGGAGCTGACTGAGTTTAATAAACCCAGGAGATGCTGGAGGAGAAATCTGGAACCGAACTCTGTTCTTCAAACCAACTCAGACAATATCAAACTACTATTCAAAATAAGAAATTCTTCTTCCTGTTGACTGTATTTATGTTTATTCGTATTTTAACCTACAGAAAAATCACAACCTAAATGCACCATTACAGTCTGTGTGTACCTGTGTCTGCAGCGGCGGAGGAAGCGCATGATTTTGCGAGCCGCCTGGTCCTGTTTCTTCGTCAGGAAAGAGCCTCTGGAGGAGGAACGTGGACAGAGATACAGTCAGAACATCCACAGAACATAACCTCATTCAGCCTAATGAGAAACTGTAGAACAGACTCAGTTTATATCACAATACCTACATTTAGAGTCAGTTATTCATTCAGCCTAATGAGAAACTGTAGAACAGACTCAGTTTATACCACAATATACCCCTCCCTCCTTACTTTATCTTGGTGGTGAGGGTGTTGGCCCCTCGGGGCCCCTGCTTTAGCCGTTCATACTCCTTGTAGCTGCGGTAGTACTGCTGGATCAGCACTGCGGCGCGGCGAGACTGCTGGAACTTCTTCTGCTCGTAGTAACTCCTGAATTTACTCTGGATCAGGATTGCAGCCTGGGTCATCTTCTTATACAGAGCGTACTGCCCACGGAGAGAGAGAGGGAGAGAGAGTTAAATATATAGACAACAAACAGCGACACGTCCTTATAAACACAGACACACAATCTATCACAGAGACCACTCCAAACACCACACGCTGCCCACAGATGAGCCCAGATCCTCACTAGAACTGACAGAACTGAAACGGATCCCGACTCCCTAACTACACACTACACTTCACACTGCATCATCTTAGCCCTGGTTTTCCACTCGCCGAGAAAAGCCCCAGATCAGAGGAAAGAGAGTTCGCTCTCTGTTTCTTGTTCTTTTACTGCAAATCAGCACACAAACTACACTATATGGACAAAAGTATTGGGACACTACACCTACAGGAGCTTTTATGAATCCCATTCTAAATCCATAGGCATTAATATGGAGTTGGTCCCCTTTGCAGCTCTAACAGCTTCCACTCTTCTGGGAAGCTTCTACAAGATGTTGGAGAGTCTGTGGGAATTTATGCCCATTCATCCAGAAGAGCATCTGTGAGGTCAGACACTGATGTTGGACAAGAGGGTTTGGCTCACAATCTCTATTCTAGTTCATCCCAAAGGTGTGTGATGGGGTTGAGGTCAGGGCTCTGTGAGGGTCAGTCAGGTTCTTCCACACCAAACTCACCCAGTCAGGCCAAACAATTGTCCAAAATGTCTTGTTCTGCTGAAGCATTAAGATTTCCCTTCACTGGAACTAAGGGTTCTAGACCAACCCCTGAAAAACAGCCCCATATCATCATCTCTCCTCCACCAAACGTTCTCCTGGCATTCGCCAAACCCAGACTCGTCCATCAGACTGACAGACAGAGAAGCTGATTCATCACTCCACAGAATATGTGTCCACTGCTCCAGAGTCCAGTGGTGGTGCTTTACTCCACTCCACCCATGCTTGGCATTGTGCATTTTGATCTTAGGCTTGTGTGCAGCTGCTCAGTCATGGAAACGCTGCCATGAAGCTCCCAGTGCAGTTTTAGTGCTGATGTTGATATCAGAGGAGGTTTGAACTCTGCAGTTATGGATCAGCAGAGCGTTGGTGACTTTTATGCTCTGTGCTCCTCAGAGCTTGACGATCCGCTCTGTAACTTTACGTGGTCTGACTCTTCATGGCTGAGTTGCTGTGGTTCCTTAACGCTTCCACTTTTCAATAATACTTAAAATATTGTGAAGATCTAGGAGGGAAGAAATTTGACTTGTTGCAATGGTGGCATCCTATTACAGAACCACGCTTGAACTCAGTGAGCTCTTTAGACCCATTCTTTCACTAATGTGTGTGAAGGCAGGCTGCATGGCTGGGTGCTTAATTTAATGCACTTGTGGCAATGGGACTGAATGAAACGCCTGAATTTAATGATTGAGGTGTGTCCCAATACTTTGTCCATACAGTGTACTTGGATCATTCACTTATTGTTGACATCTATTTTTGGAAGAAAAAAAGCAAACGGTGTTGCATCATTCCCCATCTTCTCCCAGGCATTTTCGTGACACAACGTAGTTAAGCGAGCAGACAGACACCTCGGAAATTCCTTCTGATGAAATAATTTTTTAAATCGCTCACAAGTCATATACTCTGCAAACCACAATGACTTTAAAATTCCTGATTTCAAGGCAGTAAGTTGTGTAGTGTGAACAGTACAGTGATCTGACGACTTGGAAAGTCGTAGTATGTCCGTGGCCTAATTAGTATTATTCTAAATCAGTAAATTAATGCTCTGAAAAGTGCAGCAGATAAGGAAAAAGCTCAGAACTTGAATTAGATTCTCAGCCTGCATTTCCTACAGTTTTCTAAAGCATTCAGTGTTGATGCTGTATGATCAGCAGTGTCAGGATCTTTGTTTTTAACTGTACAAAGCCGCTGTTTTATGCCAAAGAGTCAAGAGAAAGTTTATAATAGTTTTCCAGCTCAAAGGCCACAGATAACGTCAGCTAACGTTCCTCTGTCCACTGCTTAGCAACAAGAGACACCCAAACACACCTCTGAAGTCATGCATCATTCAGGAGTCACACTGAAGTGGGGAAAAGAAGGTAAAATCTGTTAAAAGTGGGAACATGTTTGGAAAATGACGTCCGAACCCGAGGTGTGCAGTCCCATGCATATTTTAAGCTCTAGCTGTTATCACAAATTACAGCACGGGTAGAACACTTCTCAACCAATCAGATTGTTCTATCAGAACTAACTAAAACTAAAGGGAACTAACTGAAATAAAGTGAAATAACTAATAGCACACACAAACACACCCTTCCCACAGCTGGTCTCACACACAGAAACAGCAGGGAACACACAGCTTTACAGGAGAGAACTCCTCAGAGGACGGACACTGGATACACTGGGAAACCAGGTAAACCGGGTACACTGGGTACATTTGGTAAACTGAGGAAACTGGGTAAGTGAGTCTACTGGGTAAACTCGGTTCACTAGGTTAACTGGATATGTTGAGTAAACTGGACACACTGGGTAAAGTGGCTACATTAGCTAAACTGGGTACACTATGTCCACTGGGTCCACTGGGTATGTTGGGTAAAGTGGATACACTGGGTAGAGTGGCTACATTGGGTAAATTGGGTACACTGGCTAAACAGAATACCCTGAGTAAAGTGGCTAAATTGGGTAAACAGGGTCCAGTGCGTAAACTGGGTTTACTTGGTAAATTTGGTAAACTGGGTACACTAGGTAACCTGTGATAAAGAGAGTAAACTAGAAACACTCCGTAAAGTAGGTAATCTGATTACACTGGACAAAGAGGGTAACCCAGGTATACTGGGTAAAAAGGGTAAACTGCGTACACTGGGTAAAAAGTGTAAACCAGGTATACTGGGTAAAGAGGATAAACACTGGGTGAACTGGGTACATTGGGTAAACTTGGTACACTAGGTAAACTGGTACATTGGGTAAAGAGGGTAAACTGGGTACACGGAGCAAAGAGGGTGGATTAGGTACACTAGGTAAAGAGGGTAAACTGGGTACACTCTGTAAAGCAGGTAAACTGGGTATACTGGGTAAAGAGGATAAACACTGGGTGAACTGGGTACATTGGGTAAACTTGGTACACTAGGTAAACTGGTACATTGGGTAAAGAGGGTAAACTGAGTACATTGGGAAAAGAGGGTAAACTGGGTACACGGAGTAAAGAGGGTGAATTAGGTACACTGTACACTGCACTAAACAAGACACACACAGCTTTAGAGTTTAATTTTACCTTCAGCGCAATCCATGTTAGCTAGCATGAAAATCAGATACATACAGAGAGAGAGACAGAGCAGGGAGTGAAAGAGATCAGTTATATTAGTGAATGTTAGTCAGCACATAAATAAACAACAAACATACACGGATACACCAACACACACAAACACAAACATACATATATGCAGATATACACAGAACCAAACTGAAAAGCTGTGTAATGCATTTGTATGTATTTTTATGACAATAACTAGTATGTTGATAACATTAACTAACCCCCATTTAACTGTTTATCTAGTAATGCAAAGCTAGAAAACAGTGTCATTACTGAAGTTAGCACTGAATCAATTATCCTCTCGTTAATTAAAAATTATTTTTCTAATTCACAGTTCTGAACATTTCAATCAAATTTCTTCACTTCTACACCCCCCACCATAACAGCATTCCGACAGTAATGGGGCAGGTCTTCTCACAACTCATTATGAGTGTTGCATGACCATGAAACAGGTGTACAGTAACCATGGAAATGGGTGCAGCGTAATCATGGGCATTGACGTAGAGAAACCACTGAAATGGGTGCTGTGTAATTATGGATTTGGGTGGAGTGTAACCATAGAAATGAGTGTAGGCCACTGATACATGTATCAGTAATAAAGTTCAGATGTAGACCATCTGTATTATGGCAGCAAGGCAGTAAGAGTTGACCAGCACTCTGTACAGATTTCACACAGTAGCTCTAGATCAGTGTGGCTATGAATCCTGGTCCTGAAGAAGCTCTAAACGATGTAGGGATTTCACCTAAAGAGGGGTTTGTTAATTAGTTCATCATTTGAATCAGGTGTGTTGGAAGCAGAGAAACTCTAAAATGTGCAGGACGGTGGAACTCCAGGACCAGGACTGAGAACACTAAAGACAGCACATACACAGTCAACCACATGAACAGGACAAATACACATACAGTAAGACAGGACACACACAAAAAATTAAACAGAACTACACAACCACATTCAAATAAACATAGAAGCATACATATACATTAGTGCGACAACAACACCAGAACATCAGTGAACTTTGTGAAGAGCACTCATTAATGAGGTGTATGTGTACCTGCTTGTACTTCCTGTAGCATCGCTGGATAACTGCAGCCGCCATGTCCTGCTGCTCCTTCAGCCTCCGCCCCTGAAAATACAACCACGACTGTTTAACTTGCAGCCTGATTGTTCACATGACAACCTGGAAAATGTTTCATTATCTGCGACGAATAATTCAGTATCTGCTATGAATTATTCAGTATCTACAATGAGCTGTGACTGTACCTTGTATCTCCTGAATGCATTCTGGATGATGCGTGCTGCCTCATATAGTTCTCTCTGTTCGCTATCTGTCAGCGTGAGCAGAGCGAAGTCTCTCTCCATCCTGCCATTGGCTGAGGCATTCAGAAACTCTGCCCACGCAGCACTGCTCGGGGGGCGGAGCCTCTGCAAGGCCAGTGCACTGAGAGGGGAGGGTGGCTGGGGGGTTGGACACATACACCTAACACACACAAAGGGGCAAAATATAAATGATTCTATAAATGTATAAATTTACTGAAAGGTTTTTGTGAAACATACAAAGATGAATTATGGTAGTTAGTGGATAATGAGGGTGTTTGGTGAGATTGATGGTGTTGGAGAATAGTGGCGTTTAGTGGAGAATGGTGGTGTTTGGGTGGAGAATGATTGCTGGAGCAAAAAAAAGGTGGCTGGTTGAAAATAGTGGCGTTCGGGTGAAAAACGATGGCGTTTGGGAGAAATGGACGGTGTTTGATCGAGAATATTGTTGTTTGTTGTGTACCTGTCTACAGTGTCCAGGTATGGTGCAAGCCAAGGCATGGTGTCATGAATGGCAGGGTTGTCCCGCCTCTCTCTGAGTGGAGACTCCGCCTCCCTAGGGAATTCCTCCTGTTTGATTCGCTCTGGTGTCGCCTCGATTATCTGTTCTGCCAGTGTTGCCATGTCAACCTCAAACAAACACACAAATAAAAGTCATCATGAGAAGCTGACCAGTATTACATTACCTACTGTTTATTACTCAGATAAACATTACTGACTTAAGAGGTGTGGACTTAAGTCACATCAAAAAAGACTTGGAAACTTGTATAGGAAAGTCTTAAGTTGATTGCTAAGCACAGGCAAGTCTCAAATCGACAGGTAAGTCAGGAAAGTCTTGACACTCCTGTACTGACTTGGGACTCAACTTGAGATGTGCCTTCACTGACTCAGGACTTGAGACTTGCCTTCACTGACTCAGGAATTGACTTGAGACTTGCCTGTACTGACTTGGGACTCGACTCGAGACTTGCCTGTGCTTACTCGGGACTTGACTTGGGACTTTCCCGTACTGACTCAAGACTTGAGACTTGCCAGTACTGACGTGGAACTCGATTTAAGACCTGCCTGTACTGACTCAAGACTTGACTTGAGACTTGCCTGTACAAACTCGAGACTCGACTTCAGACTTGTCTGTATTGATTCAGAACTCAACTTGAGACTGGCCTGTATTTACTCAGGACTCGACTTGAGACTTGTCTCTACTTTCTCGAGACTTGCCCGTATTGACTCAGGACTCAACTTGAGACTTGCCTGCACTGACTCAGGACTCAACTTGAGACTTGTCTGTGCTGACTCAGGAATCGACTTGAGACTTGCCTGTGCTTACTCTGGACTTGACTTGGATCTTTCCTGTACTGTCTCAAGACTTGAGACTTGCCAATACCGACTTGAAACTCGACTTGAGACCTGCCTGTACTCACTCGGGACTCGACTTGAGACTGGCCTTTATTAACTCAGGACTCGACTTTAAACTTTCCTGTACTGATTTGGGACTCGACTTGAAACTTTCCTGTACTGAATCAAGACTTAATACTTGCCTGCACTGACTTAAGACTCAACCTGAGACTTGCCTGTATTGACTCAGGACTCAACTTGAGACTTGCCTGTACTGACTTGGGACTCAATCTGAGACTTGCCTGCACTGACTTAAGACTCAACCTGAGACTTGCCTGTATTGACTCAGGACTCAACTTGAGACTTGCCTGTATTGACTCAGGACTCAACTTGAGACTTGCCTGTACTGACTTAGGACTCAACCTGAGACTTGCCTGTATTGATTCAGGACTCCACTTGAGACTTGCCTGTACTGATTCGGGACTCGACTTGGACCTTTTCTGTACTGCATCAAGACTTGAGACTTACCTGTACTGACTCGGAACTCGACTTGAGACTTGCCTGTATTGACTCAGGACCTGACTTGAGGCCTGCCTACAGACTCGAGACTCAACTATGGACTTGTTTGTATTGCTTCAGAACTCAACTTGAGACTGGCCCGTATTAACTCAGGACTCAACTTAAGAATTATCTTTACTAACTGACTTGAGACTTGTCTGTGCTTACTCAGGACTCGACTTGGATCTTTCCTGTACTGACTCAAAACTTGAGACTTGCCAGTACTGACTTGAAACTCGACTTGAGACCTGCCTGTACTGACTCAGGACTCGACTTGAGACTGGCCTGCATTAACTCAGGACTGGACTTCAGACTTGCCTGTACTGACTCGAGACTCGACTTGAAACCTGCCTGTACTGACTTAGGACTCAGCCTGAGACTTGCTTGTATTGACTCAGGACTCAACTTGAGACTTGCCTGCACTGACTCAGGACTCAACTTGAGACTTGTCTGTGCTGACTCAGGAATCGACTTGAGACTTGCCTGTGCTTACTCTGGACTTGACTTGGATCTTTCCTGTACTGTCTCAAGACTTGAGACTTGCCAATACCGACTTGAAACTCGACTTGAGACCTGCCTGTACTCACTCGGGACTCGACTTGAGACTGGCCTTTATTAACTCAGGACTCGACTTTAAACTTTCCTGTACTGATTTGGGACTCGACTTGAAACTTTCCTGTACTGAATCAAGACTTAATACTTGCCTGCACTGACTTAAGACTCAACCTGAGACTTGCCTGTATTGACTCAGGACTCAACTTGAGACTTGCCTGTACTGACTTGGGACTCAATCTGAGACTTGCCTGCACTGACTTAAGACTCAACCTGAGACTTGCCTGTATTGACTCAGGACTCAACTTGAGACTTGCCTGTATTGACTCAGGACTCAACTTGAGACTTGCCTGTACTGACTTAGGACTCAACCTGAGACTTGCCTGTATTGATTCAGGACTCCACTTGAGACTTGCCTGTACTGATTCGGGACTCGACTTGGACCTTTTCTGTACTGCATCAAGACTTGAGACTTACCTGTACTGACTCGGAACTCGACTTGAGACTTGCCTGTATTGACTCAGGACCTGACTTGAGGCCTGCCTACAGACTCGAGACTCAACTATGGACTTGTTTGTATTGCTTCAGAACTCAACTTGAGACTGGCCCGTATTAACTCAGGACTCAACTTAAGAATTATCTTTACTAACTGACTTGAGACTTGTCTGTGCTTACTCAGGACTCGACTTGGATCTTTCCTGTACTGACTCAAAACTTGAGACTTGCCAGTACTGACTTGAAACTCGACTTGAGACCTGCCTGTACTGACTCAGGACTCGACTTGAGACTGGCCTGCATTAACTCAGGACTGGACTTCAGACTTGCCTGTACTGACTCGAGACTCGACTTGAAACCTGCCTGTACTGACTTAGGACTCAGCCTGAGACTTGCTTGTATTGACTCAGGACTCAACTTGAGACTTGCCTGCACTGACTCAGGACTTAAGACTTGTCTGTGCTGACTCAAGACTCGACTTGAGACTTGCCTGTACTGATTCGGGACTCGACTTGGAACTTTCCTGTACTGACACAAGACTTGAGACTTGCCTGTACTTACTCGGGACTTGATTTGGAAGTTTCCTGTACTGACTCAAGACTTGAGATTTGCTTGTACTGACTTGGATCTCGACTTGAGACTTGCCTGTGCTTACTCGGGACTTGACTTGGAACTTTCCTGCACTGACTCAAGACTTGAGACTTGCCTGTACTTACTCGGGACTCCACTTAGAACTTTCCTGTACTGATTCAAAACTTGAGACTTGCCAGTACTGACTTGAAACTCACCTTGAGACATGCCTGTACTGACTCAAGACTTGACTTGAGACCTGTCTGTGCTGACTCAGGACTTAATTTGAGACCTACCTGTACCGATTCAGGACTCAAATTGAGACCTAAGCTGTAATGACTCAAGATTCGACTAATCAGTGAAAGTGTACAGGTCTCACCTGTAGCACTTCTGCAGGCAGGTAGTCCTCATTCTCAGCATTCTCACTGTAGTTCAGCAGCTCTGCCTCGAAGGGAGAGTGTGTGTGAGAGTGTGTGTAGTCTGGTTGTGTGTGTGTGGGGGAGTGACCGGACTCTGCTCCGCCCACCGCTTCCCAAGATACTGGGGAGGAGGGAGAGGAACTAGAAGTGTCCATGGGGTCAGGGGGGCTGGACAGAGGGGAGGTGGGCGGGACCGAGCCACTAGAGTAGGCGGAGCTTGGTGAGGGAGAGGGCGGGTCACTGGGGGATGGAATACTACTGGACGAACTCAGACCTGAGAAAAAGAGAGAAAATAACACAATTTTCAAAAACAATCTCTTTAATCCTTTCAAAAACATAAGATGACCGACACAGATCACTGTACTAACAGTGCACACCAGCAGATCACCTGACTAAAGTTTAGGAATTATAAATGTAGTCGATCATCCGAAACACATTTAGTGTTCGAAGTTTGCTCCTTCAGTTTTAGCACTGGAGCTACAAGGCTAATGCAGCAAACTCACTCACTCATGTTTAGCAGGCCACAGATTCTCCAGAATATTAGCAGCTTTTGGTGCCCATGATGTTTAAGTTGCCATTGAAGTTTCCTCTGAATCACGTTTTAAGTTCTTTATATCAAATAAAGAGTTGTATATACGCTGTATATGCGTTTGTAATAATTTCGGATATCACAAGTTTTTGAAAAGAATAACACCTGAGGTATAACGGAAAACACGTTTTATTTCTCTAATAGTGGGGCTGTTCATCATAATATAGCATTAGCATCTCTTGTACATGTTCAGCTCCTATCAGCGTATATCAGGAACCTTGAAAGTGGTCACGCATTTTGCAAGTATTTATGCTGTTTGCACAATGCAAACTCTTGCGTGCCTTAGCCGCTACTGCTGACTGGACACTAGATGTTAGCAAACTCACCTGTATCAGGGCTGGTGGAGAGCGGAGACAGTGGAATCTGCGGCGGTGGCGACGTGTCAAGGCTGAGTGTGTGAGTGTGAGTGTGTGTGAACTCCTGAGCCTGTGTGAGTGTGTGCAGCTCCTCGATGCAGCGTGCGAGGCGCGTGTGTCCTCGTGAACGGGCCACGGCCAGCGGGAGGCGCCCCAGAGAGTCGGGAATACCCAGAGCCACGCTGCTCCACCGGTACAGCAACACCGCCGCCGACTGATGACCTAACGCACATGCCCACATCTACACACACACACACACACACACACACACACACACACACAAACACACACACACACACACAGTCACAAGCAGGAATACGACACAGAACTGTCCGTGTTCCTCTAGAAGTGCGAGGATGTTTAAACACCTGGCTCATTTGATAAATCCGGACCAAAGTTCGGGTTTTTCCGATACTGTATCTTTTTCATTTGATTAATTTCACACTGTAGCAGTTAAAGTGTCCCAAATTAAACTTGTGGACATATTTTGTTCTTCGATTGGTCAGAAACTTGGCAAGGATACAAGTGCCCTGTTGCTTTCACACTTGCCCTCTATAAACAACCTATTTTTGAACATTTAGTAGGCAATCATAGTATAAAATCCAGACACAGTCATATGCAAAAGTCTGAATGTCCCTGGCCTCATTTCATGTTCTACTGATTTTCTAGGTGAAGTTAAAACATGGGTTTTTCTGTTTAGTGCACTTTCTGTTTAATATGTTGGGGGAAAAATAAAATACACAATTTTAAAATGTGTAATTACTTTTGCTTAATTCTATTTTTCCCCAATATGTAACAATTCAGCCAATAATCAGTAAGTGTGTATTAAAATGTGCAGAACTGTGATCTCTGTAGAGGATGTGCTACTTATTCAGACTTACAGACTCAACACAAATATGATATTTGACCAGAGGCGCCCAAACCTTTGGGCTTTCTACACTCTTGATGAAACGAAGTGCCCTGAAACTGTGTCCTTTACTGACCAGTGGTGTACAGGAGAAGTGATCAACGTTGAGGGGATCCACCTCCTGCTCCAAATCCAAACTATCAGCACTAACAGTCCTACAGAGAGAGGAAGACTTTTATATTGTAGTGTTTTAAACACGAAATACTATATATTTCCCTCTCCAGACTCCGTCCTTCCATAGCTACTGCGGTGACAAGCGTCGCTCAACGCTGATAAAAATCCCATTCAACCTAATGAGAAACTGTAGAACAGACCTATAATATAGTTTATAATACGTAAATGTAGGTATTGTGATATAAACTGAGTCTGTTCTACAGTTTCTCATTAGGCTGAATGAATAACCGACTCTAAATGTAGGTATTGTGATATAAACTGAGTCTGTTCTACAGTTTCTCATTAGGCTGAATGAATAACTGACTCTAAATGTAGGTATTGTGATATAAACTGAGTCTGAATGGGGATTTTTCAATGTGTTCTGTGAAACGTGTCAAACAGTAGCTATGAAAACGCTAATATGGGCGGAGTCTGGAGAGAGGAATTTCAAAACATTAATAAAAGTCACTTCAAAGCCCTTTACCTCCACTGTATGAGTGTGTGTATGAGCTGTGTGTATCCCTGTGCGGCGGCGAGGTGCAGCAGAGTCATCCCTCTGTGTCTGATCGAGTGTGTGAGCCTCTCTCCTCCACTGCCCCCCCACCGGCCCCCCATCATCATCCGTTCACACACACTGATGATGCGCCGCTCAAACCACGGACCAGACTGAGTGTGAGAGAGAGATATAGAGAGAGAGAGAGAGAGAGAGAGACAAATATTAATTATGTTACACTTATTTCATGTTTTTGATACAGAGGTTAAATCATCATCATCAGATCATAAACTCAGAAATCACACATTCTCCATCTTTCTATGCCAAATAGCAACATTCTCTACCAGAACGTTCTCCACCAGAACGTTCTCCACCAGAACGTTCTCCACCAGAACGTTCTTCACCAGAACATTCTCCACCAGAATATTCTCCACCAGAACATTCTCCACCACATTCTTCACCAGAACGTTCTCCACCAGAACGTTCTTCACCAGAACGTTCTCCACCAGAACGTTCTCCACCAGAACGTTCTTCACCAGAACATTCTTCACCAAATGACAGTGCTTTTCAAAGAGGCATGATGATGACGGTAAATAGCCAGATATTCAGTGATGAAACTGAACGAAGAGGGTCTGAGGAAGAGGGGCTGAGAAAAAGGACGTGAGGAAGAGGGGCTGAGGAAGAGGGTCTGAGGAAGAAAAACTGAGGAAGAGGGGCTGAGGAAGAGGGTCTGAGGAAGAAAAACTGAGGAAGAGGAGCTGAGGAAGAGGAGCTGAGAAAGAGGAGCTGAGGAAGAGGGGCTGAGAAAAAGGACGTGAGGAAGAGGGGCTGAGGAAGAGGGTCTGAGGAAGAAAAACTGAGGAAGAGGGGCTGAGGAAGAGGGTCTGAGGAAGAAAAACTGAGGAAGAGGGGCTGAGGAACAGGAGTTGAGGAAGAGGGGCTGAGGAAGAGGAGTTGATGAAGAGGAGTTGAGGAAGAGGAGCTGAGGAAGAGGGGCTGAGGAAGAGGGGCTGAGGAAGAGGGGCTGAGGAAGAGGAGCTGAGAAAGAGGCACTGAGGAAGAGGGGCTGAGGAAGAAAAACTGAGAAAGAGGAGCTGAGAAAGAGGGGCTGAGGAAGAGGAGTTGAGGAAGAGGGGCTGAGGAAGAGGAGTTGAGGAAGAGGGGCTGAGGAAGAGGAGCTGAGAAAGAGGGGCTGAGGAAGAGGAGTTGAGGAAGAGGGGCTGAGGAAGAGGAGCTGAGAAAGAGGGGCTGAAGAAGAGGAGTTGAGGAACAGGAGTTGAGGAAGAGGGGCTGAGGAAGAGGAGTTGAGGAAGAGGAGCTGAGGAAGAGGAGCTGAGGAAGAGGAGCTGAGGAAGAGGAGCTGAACTGACCCACGCGTACACTTGGAGGGGAGTGTCAGGTAACGAGTGGCTGAGTAACAGACAGAACAGGTACAGCCCAGTGAAGTTTGTGCCGTATGATGGTTCTGCAGAGTGTCCCGAATGCGATGCCTGTTAAGGTTCCTTTAGAGTTAAAATGCTGCCCAACAGAGGAACCTTTGAAGGCAGTGACTAGATAGACTGGATAAGGTGTTGTTAGGCCTCTGCTATGGTATTCCAGGTGGTTGCTAAGGTGCTGCTAGGCCACTGCTGTAGTATCCCAGGTTGTTGCTAAGGTGTTGTTAGTCCACTGCTATGGTATCCCAGGTGGTTGCTAAGGTGCTGCTAGGCCACTGCTTTTGTATCCCAGGAGGTTGCTAAGGTGCTGCTAGGCCACTGCTGTAGTATCCCAGGTGGTTGCCAAGTTATTGCTAGGCAACTGCTATGGTGTTCCAGGTGGTTGCTGAGGTGTTGCAAGGTCACTGCTATGGGATCCCAGGTTGTTGCTAAGGTGTTGTTAGGTCTCTGCTATGGTATGCCAGGTGGTTGATAAGGTGTCGCTAGCCCACTGCTATGGTATCCCAGGTGGTTGCTAAGGTGTTGTTGGGCCGCTGCTATGGTATCCCTGGTGGTTGCTAAGGTGTTGTTAGGTCTCTGCTATGGTATCCCAAGTGGTTGCTAAGGCATTACTAGGCCATTAATATGGTATCCCTGATGGTTGCTAAGGTGTTGTTAGGCCACTGCTATGGTATTCCAGGTGGTTGCTAAGGTGCTGCTAGTCCACTGCTATCTTATCTCAGGTGATTGCTAAGGTGCTGCTAGGCCACTGCTGTAGTATCCCAGGTTGTTGCTAAGGTGTTGTTAGTCCACTGCTATGGTATCCCAGGTGGTTGCTAAGGTGCTGCTAGGCCACTGCTTTTGTATCCCAGGAGGTTGCTAAGGTGTTGCTAGTCCACTGCTATCTTATCTCAGGTGATTGCTAAGGTGCTGCTAGGCCACTGCTATGGTATCCCAGGTGGTTGCTAAGGTGCTGCTAGGCCACTGCTGTAGTATCCCAGGTGGTTGCCAAGTTATTGCTAGGCAACTGCTATGGTGTTCCAGGTGGTTGCTGAGGTGTTGCAAGGTCACTGCTATGGGATCCCAGGTTGTTGCTAAGGCATTACTAGGCCATTAATATGGTATCCCTGATGGTTGCTAAGGTGTTGTTAGGCCACTGCTATGGGATCCCAGGCGGTTGCTCAGATGTTGCAAGGTCTTTGCTATGGGATCCCAAGTGGTGGCTAAGGCATTACTAGGCCATTAATATGGTATCCCAGGTGGTATTGCTAAGGTATTGCTAAGGTATTGCTAGTCTGTTGCTGTGCGATCACAGGTGGTTGCTAAGGTGTTGCTGGTATACTTGTATGGTTACTAAGGGGAGTGTCCATCTGCGTACAGTGTGTATACTGACTGTGGTGGAATGTCAGGTAGAGATATGAGCACTAAATGAGCGGAATGAGTCAGTCAGGAAGCTGATCATCCCCCCATTCGTTTCTTTGGAAAATAGCCACTGTTTGAACAAACGCTGTCCGACTTGCTGAGTTAGCACAGTCCTGCACAGTTTGGTGGTTCTAGCCGTAAAGCTGTAGGAGGAACAGCGCTGCAGGGTTCTGAATAAAAATAAGGCCAACTTAACAAAACAAGAACATAATAAGGAAAATAATATTTGATCTGGTGAAGCTGGTTCAAACATCCCCCTCCTGCTTTCCCTCCACCGCCCCCCTCGTCTTTCTTTCCCTCTGTCACGTTCTCCTCTTTCACTCTCTCCATCACTGACTAAAGTAACTTTTCCACTGAGAGCCACCTGATAGGAAACATTACATCCATACCACACACACACACACACACACACACACACAGACACACACACACACACACTCACACACACACACACACACACACACACACACACACACACACTCACACACACACACACACACACACACACACACACTCACACACACACACACACACACACACACTCACACACACACTCACACACACACACACACACACACTCACACACACACACACACACTGCCACCCTGACCCCTCTCACACACTCACACTTCACCTCTCCCCTCCCTCAGATTTTTCCCTCTCTCTCTCTCTCTCTCTCTCTCTCTCTCTCTGCTGCTGTGACGCAAGAACTTCAGCTAAATTGAAATGAGCAGAAGGTGGCGAGGCAGCGACACGGAGAGCCCTGCTGGGTGATCTGTCAGAGCTGCTGTCACACAACAATACTGACTATTTAGTGGGACTGACTGAATAAAACATTTCAAACATCCATAAAAATATAAACAAACACTGTTTCCTTTCTGTCTGGTTACCATCCACAACACCAAACTGCCACTGGGGTTAAAGCTGAGGCCCTCAGATCTCCAGTACCTTCATTTGGAGAACATCGCTGCACTGTATACTGTTGCTATTAAATTACATATTATATATAAATCGCACTCCATACATCCAACAGAACTACTCAAACACATCCACACCACTGAGGAACCAAGAGGAGAAACTCGAAAATAACGAGGAAGAACCACTGAGAGGAACCGAGACTCAGAAGGAGAAACTCGAAAATAACGAGGAAGAACCACTGAGAGGAACCGAGACTCAGAAGGAGAAACTCTCTAAATTAACGAGGAAGAACCACTGAGAGGAACCGAGACTCAGAAGGAGAAACTCTCTAAAATCATGAAGAACCACAGAGGAACCGAGACTCAGAAGGAGAAACTCTCTAAATTAACGAGGAAGAACCACTGAGAGGAACCGAGACTCAGAAGGAGAAACTCTCTAAATTAACGAGGAAGAACCACTGAGAGGAACCGAGACTCAGAAGAAGAAACTCTCTAAAATAACGAGGAAGAACCACTCAGGAACCGTGACTCAGAAGGAGAACCTAACTGAGAGCATGAAGAAGAACCACTGAGGAACCACGACTCAAAAGGATCGCCTCTGATGTCCCTCAGTGATTTCTGAGATGATGACCGCTGGATAAAGGCTGCACCAATAACACTGAGGTGAGGCTGACCTGACCTACAGCCGCTGGACAGTGGCTACGCTGATTGGAGCTTTCTGTCCTGCCGGCAGCTCTTGTTACTGTGTGTGTGTACCTGGTTTTCAGGTGTGAGGCGCGGGGGGGAGGCAGGTAAACTCTGTTGCCGTGACAGCCGCTGTTGATGGATCTGCTGCTGCTGGTGTTGCTGTTGATTGTTGTTGGCCATCTCTGCCATCCTCCTCTCCATCTGCTCCAACCTCTCCAGGATGGACATCCGGAACTGATTATCTACACAACACACACCAACACACACTCAGATCATCTGGACCACAAACACACACCTGCAGAACACCCAGCACATCTACACACTCACTGTGCACCAGCATTTACTTACTACACTACATATAACTAATATACTGTATAATACAGCTGACATACAGTACTATATAACTAATATACTGAATAATACAGCTAACATACAGTACTATATAACTAATATACTGTATAATACAGCTGACATACAGTACTATATAACTAATATACTGTATAATACAGCTGACATACAGTACTATATAACTAATATACTGTATAATACAGCTGACATACAGTACTATATAATTAATATACTGTATAATATGGCTAACATACAGTACTATATAACTAATATACTGTATAATACAGCTGACATACAGTACTATATAACTAATATACTGTATAATATGGCTAACATACAGTACTATATAACTAATATACTGTATAATACAGCTGACATACAGTACTATATAACTAATATACTGTATAATATGGCTAACATACAGTACTATATAACTAATATACTGTATAATACGGCTAACATACAGTACTATATAACTAATATACTGTATAATACAGCTGACATACAGTACTATATAACTAATATACTGTATAATATGGCTAACATACAGTACTATATAACTAATATACTGTATAATACAGCTGACATACAGTACTATATAACTAATATACTGTATAATATGGCTAACATACAGTACTATATAACTAATATACTGTATAATACAGCTGACATACAGTACTATATAACTAATATACTGTATAATATGGCTAACATACAGTACTATATAACTAATATACTGTACAATACAGCTGACATACAGTACTATATAACTAATATACTGTATAATACGGCTAACATACAGTACTATATAACTAATATACTGTATAATACAGCTGACATACAGTACTATATAACTAATATACTGTATAATATGGCTAACATACAGTACTATATAACTAATATACTGTATAATATGGCTAACATACAGTACTATATAACTAATATACTGTATAATATGGCTAACATACAGTACTATATAACTAATATACTGTACAATACAGCTGACATACAGTACTATATAACTAATATACTGTATAATATGGCTAACATACAGTACTATATAACTAATATACTGTATAATATGGCTAACATACAGTACTATATAACTAATATACTGTATAATACAGCTGACATAGTGTACTATAATGCACACATTTCCAGTACTGTACTATGTATCACATACACTGTACTATATAATCCACCTATAACACACAGCTTTCTGATGTACAGTACTGAGTCAGTGACCCTTTCACTGATTTAAGTTCCAGTCAAAACAGCAATTCAGTAATTACTCATTTTCAGCACCAGGAAAAACAGAAAACACACACTTAACCGAAAATTACACTGAAGCCTGAACTACTGAATCCTATCAAATCTGTCAGTATTTAATGTGTCCAGTGTTCACTGCTGAGGCTGTTAGTGAAGAAGACGATAAAACGCCCCAAACGTACAGTGGAGCAGTAAAGCTGAAGGCTGAGGAGTGGAGAGGTCTGATGGAGTGACGAGTTTGTATCTGTAGTGGAGATTATGTGAATCAGGGCCAGCAGAAAATGCAAAACCAACTTCTAAGACTGACCACATCCTCTATAGAGACACACTACTGCTCATTTTAATACTCAATCGCTGTTTATTTACCGAATTTAACACATGGGGAATTAAACAACATGTTAAACTCAAACAGACACTGAGCACCAGAATTTGCAGAAATATCTCATATTTAAATATTGTCCTCTTAGAAACCTTTGCCTGAAACTGCAATACAGTGCAGTAGTTTCTAACATAGTGTACACATATATGCCCATTTTGAATTTGATGCCAACAACACGTTTCAAAAAAGTTGGGACGGAGGCCTGTTTACCACTGAGTTTCACCACCTCCTCTTTAACACTCTGAGGAGACACTGCTGTAGCTTTGAGAGGCAAATGTTTTCCTGTTCTTGTTTGATACAGGATTTCAGCTGCTCATCAGTTCAGGGACTCATTTATAGTATTTTTCATTTCATAATGCGGCAAATGTTCTCAGCGGTGACAGAACTGGACTGCAGGCAGGTCAGTTTAGCACCCAGACTCTTTTAATACGGAGCCATGCTGTTGTAATACGTGCAGAGTGTGGTTTGACATCGTCTTGCTGAAGTAATCAAGGCCTTCCCTGAAAAAGACGTCGTCTGGATGGCAGCATATGTTGCCAAAACATGTATATATCATTCAGCATTAATGGTGCCTTCACAGATGTGCGCGTCACCCATGCCGAGCTCAGACCCAGAGAAGGTGGCAGCGTTTCTGTACCCTGTTTATATTTGGTTTCTTCTTTGCGTTTTAGAGTTTTAACTTGCATTTGTGGATGCAGTGATGAACTGTTTTCACAGACAGAGTTTTTCAGAAGTGTTTCTGAGCC